AGGAATATCGAAAATTATCCTTACAATCTGAAGGATAGTTACTTATGATTTTATTTAGTATCTGTACAATAGACATCTATATTTTCCAAACTCATATTCTCCACAAATTCCCCAAACACCGAACAAACTGTGATTCAAATTGCTCGTCAAATTATAGCTAAAAATCGGTCAGGTTTGATAGTGGGTTACAGGGGGGGGGTTGTAATCCTGGGTATGACGATAAACTATATCCGGCAGCAAGGCTTCTGATCGGGAGATTGGAGATTTTGAGGAACGTGGAACCACCTCCTTATTTCATTTGTTCCCAGGTCTTCTCTGACCCGGGGTGGTAACACCTGTTAGGGTCCCAGGTATGGGGGGATAGTGAACACACAAACAAAAACATAACTATAAAAGTATAAAAATACATTTTTATAGTAAAAATACATTTTATAGTAAAAAATACCAGCAATATCTATCTATCTATCTATCTATCTATCTATCTATCTATATATATATATATATATATATATATATATATATATATATAAAATTACCAACAATATTATTCATAGCAGAATTACCAACAATACAATTTGTCTGTAGTTGAAATAATGCAATTGCGTTCAAAATATTTAGATGTCGACATTAAATAACCCATAGACGTGTTGATATGTCGCTAAACAAAATCAACCAACAGGTTGTTCAAGCAGAATTCTTCACACACATTATCGTCAGCTGTTCAGAAATAAATCACTATAAGGTTCACCTGGAGCCAAAAATAAAAATGCGCAAAAAAACACCAAATCCATTATTTCAGTTGGCCGCTGCTTTCTTTACTGAATGGTAACTAGTTTAAAAAGTGGCTTTCTTTCTGGCTGCTCTATCATGATCTCATATTGTGAAGATACACCCCCTTCTGTTCGTGCATTGATTTGAACACATTCTACGCATAATGTAGTATCTGTTTTAATTCCTCTGCCGATGTATCTATGTGCCTCTATCTATGGGTTAAATGGCAGAGAAGACTGAGCTCTTTTGCTTTGAGGTGACAATCAGTCTAATAGAAGGATTCAAACTCTAATTTCAAAATCAGCCTGAATAGGGTTCGTCTCCGTCTGGCTAGCCTGCCCTCGACACACCACCGATGCTATGGCTGCAGTAAACGTGCTGCCTTTACAACCCTCAGTACTAAGAACTTCGACAAAGTCTGCTGAAAGACTATTGTAGACAAAGTTTACCTTGGTTAAGTTGATAAGTGTTACCTGCTGAAGTCCTTGAATGACTTTTTATTACAAAAGCCGACATGTTTTACTGAGAGTATCTAGTAAAGACTTTACTTACCTTTTTGTATTTTGATTTCAAAATAATGATATTTTCTCCAGCTTGGTCCTAAATTTGATCTTAAAAATGTCTTTTTGTAACAGTAGCTAATCTATAATGCTACTTGTACGCAATGGGGTACGGAAAGTGAAAACGTGAGAAAAGACAGGATACAATGGCGACTGAGGAAAGGATAAAAGATGAACGGGATTCAAGAGCAGATTGACGTTGCACTTAAATTTTTGAAGATTGTATTTTTCAGGGAAGCAAGTAAACGGAAGGGAGTTCCACACTGTTGGGACTGTCTGTGAACATGGAATCTCACCCCAAAAAGAAAAACGTTTTTTCGTTTGGTTCCGTAGCTTCTAAGTCAGGTCATGGTGGTTTTCTAAGCGTAGCTTAGATGTAGCACAAGGTCGAAAGTATGGGGTACCCAGTGAAGATCGAACTCGCTACTCAGTCGTAATTGATCTAGCGAGACAAGTTTGCTCACCATTACATCACGTTGAAGTGCACCTCAGGCAAGTCATGATAATGAAACATTTTTATACTCGCCATCCATTTTCAAAGGCGCATCCACATGAGAAATTCGGTTTAAATTTGGTTAAAGGAACGCCCGAGGAAGTCTGCTATACGACACCATAAGCCAGATTAAGGAGATTATTGTTTTGTCAGTAAAAAGAAGAAACCAACTTGCGAAATGCAAACTGGAGATACCAAAATGAAACAAGTACAAACATTTAAATATCTCGGTAGTGTTTTAACAAGGGACAGAAAAATGTGACACCGAAATCCATTGGAATAGCGAAAGATGCTTTCGAAAATCTAAGGAAAATATTAAGAAACATGACATTTTCATTAGAAAGAGGGGCACCTCGACGTTGTGTTATGGTTAGCAAGTTTGCTCCGCTAAATAAATTACAACTGAGTAGTTTAGTTCAATCCTCACTGGGTGCCTCATTCTTTTGGCCTTGTGCCACATCTAAGCTGCGCTTAGAAAATCAGTATTTTCTCTAGAAACAGAAAAAAAACGTACTGAAATGCTATGTAATATCAATCCTCTTGTATGGCAATGAATGCTGGACAGTTGAAGAAGAGACTTGGGGGCAACATAAATGTATTTATACAGAAGGATGATGAGAATACCTTGGACTGAACATGTGAACAACGACGACGTTTTCAGAAGAATGGAAACGAAAAGAACGATTTCGAATCTGAAATTTCGAGGGCACATAATACGGGCAAGTTTTCACGAACGTGAGTGAGTTGTTTTCTCATTTGTTGGTTAAAGATATCGATGTATTTCCTAGCAAAGTGACTGCCGAAAGTGTCATCATACTTTGTAAGAGATAACAAGAGGTGAAATCTATGCTGTGGAAGTGCACGAACAGACGTGAGATGACTATATTAATTTTATTGTGGGCTATTAAAACAGCCATACTTTATAGAAGTGAGAGGAAAATGAAATTGAGAAAAGAATCATTATCGTGAGAGGTAAAAAAACAAAAAATCAGCTGACCGGTTTTCGTTCCTCTCTCTTCAGAGCTCGATCAAGGAAATTAACTAACTGTACAACCCGCTTAAAAGGTGGATAAATAAGTACCTGAATCTATTACGCTGCACTGTTACAAGAGCCGTATCAAATCAAAAGTGGAGCACAGCTGCTATATGTGGGCTGGAGCTGCACCGTCTTCACTTTCCAGCCTTCAAAAGCGCTTACGCGGCCACGTGGGTGATGAATTATTTTCCAATGTATAACCCCTTTCCCACAGACGAAAGATAGCAAGCCTTTTGCTGCTCTATATCGTTATTCCCAGTGAGGACAAGCTACATTCATTTCAGACTTTCACAGCCCTAACTTTCAACGTCACGTACATTGATACGAATCATCTCCACCCACCCGTATTCTATTAGTAAAAAAGAAAGTTCCGTTCAGACAGCTTCTTCCCATGGAACCGACTTCTGAGAAGATGCTTCCACGATCGCTATAATCTGAACCTTTTCAAATCTAGGGTTAATCCTTCTTTTTCATGCATATCCGCATAATTTGCACTTCATACCCCTCCACTTACGTTCATACAATCTCATTCACGTAACCCCTATTTGGAGTGGCTGTTAGGCTTTATATTAAATGAACATTTAGTAAAGAAATGTAAATATTTTATCCTCATTTAGAATGTTTCTCTCCTTATTAACAAAATTGGGATCTGAAAAGGGAGGAACGAAAACCGGTCAGCTGTTTGTTTTTCTTTTCTTTTTCGAATTACCTTTCATAAGGATTTTACCATGTTTTTCTTTTCATATCATGAAGCGGTAAGCGTGCAGAAGTGGGAAGAGGGTGCGACGGCCCCGGGCATCCATATCGGGAGGGCATCCAATCAAAGAATGAAATAAAAATTTACTTTATATTTAATTTGAATAAAGTGTTTATTTCATGTTTCATCTGTTTTTACATATTTAAAATGTCTTCCTTTCTCAGTACTAGGCCCTATAGACACTCTACATGAATCTTTTTTTTTTTAATTTTTTCATGCCAAGCAAGACGGGAATGACACTAGTACGTACCTACGTACTAGTGGCTATGGAGAGTGAAAGTGAGAGAAATGACTAAGCATATGGAGAATTGAGGAATGGATAAAAGATGAACGGGATTCAAGAAGATAGAAGATAGACGGTGCATTTAATTTTTTGAAAATTGTAGTTGTCAGGGAAGCAAGTAATCGGAAGGGAGCTCCGCAGGCGGGAAGTGAAGAAAAGAAACTGTTGGAGTAGAAGTGGTGGTTATATTTAACTATTTCAACAGTAAACGGGTGAATGCTAGATGCCGATCTAGTAGCACGCTTAAATTCACGTAGTCGGGGCGCCAGCGGGAAAAAAAAGCTTGTCAGCGTAGTTGCCTTGAATATATTTGTAGAAAAGACAGAGAGAAGCCATTTAGTGGCATGCAATGAAGGAATTGGCTCCAGGAATCACCAAACATTACCAAACTTCTGCACGTCTCTTTCATGAAGTCTGTTTTAATAACAATAATAAAAATTTGGACTGCAAAGAAAATCTTTAAATATTAATTTTCACAGACTTTCCAAATGTGTGACTTGACCTGATTATCTCTGAACTTCAAGCAAGAAGATTCCCCAAATCTAGCTGTGTACTGGCGCGAACACCCGGAAAACAATCTAACATTTTTTTTTAACTCGCCTACTGAACGATTAAACGTGTTTACCAAATGAGCCTCGTTTCCTATTGCGTATGATCATATCATACAGAATTCCCTACACAGAACACACACGCATTTTTCATGCACGTAAGTCCACACGTGCCTGTTGCAATTTTAATTTTCTAAACCGCCCTGTGTAAACGCGGCGTGAAATCTCAATAGTTTTATGTTATTCATCTTGAACTTTGTAAACATGAGTGGAATGTCCAAACTAGCGTGTCTTCTGCTAAATGCAGTATAATAAAAATCGTAATGTAAGAAACACATTTGGGGAACGGTGGGTACCATGTCTGCTTGAGGTTGGGTACGTCAGCTCATCTAATGGAAATGAAGGACGAGGACTCTCTGGGGGACATGTAGAGAGCGATGCAACCCGGCCCGCCTCTGAATGTTCCGTACAAATAAACAAGATGGCCTGGGGCGGGTAGTTGAAGTCAGTTAAAAAAAAGTTGTCATTTTCTTTTTCTCCAAATATTTCACACTATACTGTTGATGGGAACTGAGAATGAGAATAAAGTAGGAGGAGCAGTAGTAGGAAGTGTAGTATGAAGACGAGAAGGAGATAGAAGTAGGAGGAAAAAAGAGAATATATTGAAGTAGTAGTAAGAGGAGGAAGCTGCAGGGAAAAGTAACAGCGACGAGGAGGACGGACAAGTGAAGGAGGTTTAGTATGAGGATGAGAAGGAGGATAGAAGTAGGAGGACAAAGAGATTATATTGAAGTAGTAGTAAGAGGTGGAAGCTGAAGAGAGTAATAAAAACTACGGGAAGAGTAGAAAAGAGAAGGAGATGCAGTATAAAGATGAGAAGGAAGATAGAAGTAGGAAGAAAAAGAGAATATATTGAAGTAATAGTAAGAGGAGGAAGTTGAAGGGAGAAGCGACGAGGAGGATGGACAAGTGAAGGAGGTTTAGTATGAGGATGAGAAGGAGGAGGAGAAAGAGATTATATTGAAGTAGTAGTAAGAGGCGGAAGATGAAGAGAGGAATAAAAACGACGAGGAGAGTAGAAAAGAGAAGGAGATGCAGTATGAAGATGAGAAGGAGGTTAGCAGGAGAAGAAAGAGAATATATTGAATTAGTAGTAAGAGGAAGAAGGTAAAGAAGGGAATAACAGCGACGGGGAGAGTAGAAAAGAGGAGGAGGTGTAATATGAAGACGAGAAGGAAAATAGTAGTATTCTATTAGTAAAGAGGAAGGTCTACTCAGTCATTTTTTTGCCTCAGAACTGTTACTTCGTAGAAGAGACTCCCGAGAGGATGCTTCTCTGACTCCTGCGATCTTAATCTCTCTACTTTTAAGTGTCAATCATTATCTATCTTATATATCCTCATAATATGCACTTCTTACTTCTCTCCTTTACTCCCTTACAAAAACCTAATTCACTAACCCCCCCCCCCCTACTACGAGTGTCTCTTGGGATTTTTTATTAGGTGAAAATAGTATTGGAAAATCGCTTATTACATGCTTGTCTCATCTTTAGTTCCACACGTTTTACACTAGATTTTCTATCTTGTTTTTTATATAATCGATTCTTGTGACATTGTTTTCGATTGCCGTTAAGACTGACTTCAGTAATACACGCTTAGGCGATCATGTATCTTTGATACATGACACACGGGGCAGATTTTTTCCCGCAGTAGGTTGCCATTTTTTTCTGCGGTAGACCAGTTGCCACCAAAGGCTATAGGACATACATTTTCTTGGTTTCTTTTTATTCTGGCTTGCTATTTAGCTGGGGGGGGGAGAGGAGGATTCATACCTTTTCCAAGGGTATTAGCAAGTAAGTGAAAGTAATGGATTCGACTGGAATTCGAACTCGGCTCTCCGATTCCTCAATCCGAGCCGCTATCCATTATTCCACCTTCTTACTTTCTCTTTAAGTTTCTCCTGTATCCATGTTTATTTATCTTCAATTCCCTATATTTACCCTGTAACGGCGATTTTACCGTTAACAAAAAAGTAGAAATGACAAAATAACAAATGAAGTTGAGACATGCTTGAGATATGTAATAGAGTTTTTATTTCTCGTCATTTAGAAGGTTCGATCGTTTGTTTGTCCCAGTGTATTGTCGGCCAGTTGTGGGAGACTGAGAGTTCGTTCGGGGTATAACACAAGATAGTAGTCGAGGTAGACACACGGAGTAAGTCAGCACGCATATGTAGCCGAGTGAGATAAACTCGTGGGAGAGCTGAAGAATTATCGCATTGCAGTAGTCAGGAATTCGTCTCTATTGTTGTAGCTGGTTTAATCGCTGGCTGTTGATGATAATGCCTTGGTGTCGCTATAATGGTCTTAGTTTGCTTGCCGTGGTGGTTCGTCGCTAATGCCAGCCTGCCCAGATCTATCCCTGTGGATGAAATCAGCGTTGGCTTTAGAGTCAGTCATGTGATTTAGAAACGTCTGCTGCAAAAACCGCGTGAGCCTTTTTTAATTGGTCAGAAAAGGTAATTTATGACCCTGAGATTTTGGACGGTATTCCGGAAGTAGGTGCACAGAGCCAGACGAAATTATGGTCTTTTTTTTTTGTTATATAAGCTGTGGATATCAACGTGAGCACTTCCGTTTGAGTTAAAGTATTAGAGTTCTGATAGGGCATTACAATCTTCTGAACTCTCCGGTAAATTGATTTTATTCCCATTTTAGTTATTGTTGTTACATTTTCTTGGTTTCTTTTTATTCTTCTGTTCGTTTTAATGCAGTTTATTGATATTGTAAGTAGTCTATCTCTTTTCTGTCTCGTGTGCTTTTCTTCAAATTTCTCGATTGCGGATTTGATGTAATCCTCGACGATAAGTAGTCCTTAAAAGATAGTTAAGAGGAAATGATAAATCATTTCCTTTTAACATATATCCTATCAACAACGTCACTCGTAGAGTTCTCATATTATAATTATTTAGTTAATATCTCCTTCAAAATTTCTTGACTCAGAACACTTGGATTGTTGTAGAGTAGAACCCAGCTTACTTCCTGCTCATCCCTACAACTGTGACAGTGGACTGCTCCTACTTATAAATAGAACAAGTAGACATATTAGAAGAGGATTTTTAGTAATATTTGATTTACTCAAATTATTCCGTTGTATGTATGTGTATTTAATAAACCTCTTGTTTGTTTTTCTTACCTAGTCTTTTGTTCCTTCGATACTCTCTTAAATTATGGCTTTCCTAATTCTCAATTATTTTGAATAAAGACAACATTACAATGTGGATGATGACTTGAAATCAGTCCTTATGCCTTACAAAAGAAGCAGCGTCCTTGTACGCATGCGTGCTCATATGCAGAAAGAGGAAACAGTTGTAAGTTAACGTTTATTAAATGGTCGAGGTTTTCATTGACTAAATGCAGTACACCCTCACCACACCTATATTCATGACTCATGAAAACAACGATTCATTTTATATTTGTTTTGATCAGCTGTAAACAAATATTTCGATCAACAATAACATTTAAGCAGATGGTCGTTTACCACTTGCTTCGATTCAGAGGTTTTGTCGGTAAGAGAGGGAGAAAAAATTCCCGGATGTGGCATTCCCACAGCTGTAACCTTTATGTTTATGTCTATATGGATAAAAATACTGCGAAATGTTTACCTTCTTAATTTAGTGTTGTACTTTCATCGGTCATGAAAGATCATTAAACGGAATAAAGATCGCCATTGCTGCGACTTAAAATTACACCTGCTATAGTTGGTATATCCATGTATTCTTAGATGAATCTCTATGTAGAAAGCAGGATCGTCAAGTAGATATTTACAAAGCTTTGCTTAGTCTGGACGAGATCACTAGTGAAGCACCAATAAAGGACGAACCTGCAACAGGAGAAAAATGATCTGCGAAATTTGTTTAGAAAACATCTTTCTGCGACTGGTGTATAATAAATAGTAGATCATTGCAAAAGTTTGTATCTGATTAGAAAATTAAAAACAAAATTTTACAAACTCACAAAAAACATTTATTAGTTAAATACATAGTCCCTATTGCTTTTAACAACTGTCTTTTTTTTTAATCGAGTTCACCCCAAGCAAGGCGGTAAAGCCACTAAGGCACGAGAGGTTACTGGGTGTTGAAGAATTAGAAAACAGAAACATTACTGTTGTGGCTTGTTAGAGTCCAGGAAAAAAGACACGGAAAGAAGAAGGTACGTTGAGCAAGTGTATTGAAATAACAGAACATATATACAAAATAAGAGTGTTATTAGTCAGCAGATAGATATTGTCCGTCCGAACTGTCAGGTTACACTGCGTTCCGACTACCTATATTTAACAGTCCCCCCCCCCACGAGGAATGTATGTGGCACAAGGCTGAGTTATTTCCTTTGAACCCGCATAAGCGTGTTCGGGATCTGTGTACCTCCCTGGATGAAACTTTGCCCTTCGGCAAACCTTCATCCGGGTTCCTATCTGCCAAAGCAGTGTGTGTCCACTGCCTCCCTAGGAAGTCTCGCAGGTTAGTATATATAAAGGAGGAAGAGTTCATTTTAATGTAGATAGGTCACCATAACAATTACTAAGGACAAAAGAAGAGTAATCAGTAAGCATATTCATTTGGGTAATAAGAACTAGACGATATACATAGACATGGGTAGTAAAACGGGAATTGTCTACCCCTGTAGATTAATTAAAGGGTTCAGTTCAGAATTTCCTGTAGGTTATCCAGATCTATATATACCTGAGGAAGGCCGAAACGTTGTGATGACAACAACAAAGATGAGGACAATAGTCTGAATATAAATAGTGTAAACCAGAAGCTATTGTTAGCAATTTTATTGAGTATTCCATTAACGTATAATGTATGTTCTGTTCTGGCAACAACAACAAAAAAAAACATTTTTATTCGGGGATTCTTTCATCGGTCCCATTTTGTGCACTCAGGTTTTTCATGCTGTAAAATATAATTACCAGAATATGAGGCACGATAAATAGATTCCGTATCATGGAACAAGAGAGTCGTGTTTGAAATTGCTCTATTTATCTGATAAATGTCTAAATGCCCTTCGCATGGCAATGAAAATTAGAATACATAAACAATGAACTATGAAAGATACGCTATGCTAGACTTTATTATGAAAGTCAATGTTTTCATAATAAAATTGGTATTGACCAACAAATGTTGGTAATATTTTCGGGATATATTTATACTTATATGAACAATATATCGTGTGAGTTTTAGTTTATAATATGTTTGGAGACGAATCACCTTCATTTCCTCCGTATTCCAATAGTAAGGAAGAAGTTCACTAAGTCAGCTTTTTTCTAAGAACTGTAACTTCTTTGTAACAAACTTTTGCGTGGATTCTTCCCTGAACACTACAATCTTCACCTCTTCAAGTCAATGTTCAATCGTTATCTATCTTCGTTATCCTCATAATCTTTATCACCTCCTCTTACATTTATATCACAGATTTCATTCAGTAACTTTTTAACGTGAGGACCACTTGAGCCTTGTATTTGGATGAACTTTAGTAAAAAAAAAAAAAAGTATCCTTTTATCAGTATTTTTAATAAAATACTGATAATTTGTTTTGGGATTGTCAAGCTTTATTATGTAAACAAAATACAGGGGGGTAAATTAATTTTTATTTATGAATAAATCTAAAAGATATAGACCAAAGAAATATATTTAATTAACACAATATCGTACATCTGAAAATAAATCATTTTCTTATATTGCAGGTTAATATGGGCTTAACATTCTCGGCCTACGGCCATTTCACGTTGAAACATCAGTTTTCGTACGGTGTTCAGCAACGTTGAGCCTGGTCAGTACCTAGATGGGTGAGCACATGGGAATACCAGTGCCTGTAAGATTGCGGATGATGTAATGGATAACGGATCGGAATTGAAAGTCAGAGAGCTGAGTTCGAATTCCAGTCAGGTTCGTTACATTCATTTACGCGCAAATACCCCTTGGAAAGGTACGGATCCACCTCAATTCTCCCAGTTATGGGTTAATTAGCAAAACTTTTATAAAAAATTCTTACAATCTAAAAATATTTTCTTGCAAAAGGTTGATGAATCGTAAAAAAATAAATCAATCACACAGTCAAACCCTGATATTCTATAAACTACACCTGTCTTTATTTTGTTAGTTTTATTAAAATTTTTACTTCTTTTTATTGCTTCCCGGATATCTTCGCTTGAATCTTCTTTTGTATTCTCACGTTCAATTGTTTTTAATG